AGCTCAGCCGAGTGTAGCTGTGAGGGCTTGGGCAACTCACTCCATCTCTCTGAGCCTCAGGTTCTTGTCTGTCAAGGAGGAGCAATAATAATCCCATCTCACAACATTGTTGAGAAGATTAAATGAGAAAATACAAGCGTAAGCTCTTTGTAAATGATAAAGAGCTGGAGAGAAGCTATTATTGGTGAAGCCGACGCTGAGTGTTGGGACGTCAGGACTGGGGAAGAGGAAGGCAGCAGGCACACTTGCCCTAAGAGGCTTAGGGGATTGCGAGCAAGCACCCAGGGACCTTAGGAGAGGAAAGCAGCTCTCCACCGCCTCCCCCACCTCCATCTGCAGTCTCGTCATTGGCTTGGACAGGCGTGACCCGTGAGTCACAGCCCTCAAGCCCTTGCCTTTGGGTGGCAGAGATGTGGGGACAAGGTCAACACATCCAGCTATGAGGAGAGGCCCCCGCAGGAGAAGGGATGGAGTCTTAGAGCAGCTTGCCTTTCTCCATAAGTAAGAAGACAGAAGGCAGGAGAGTGGCTCGAAGACAGGCACCAAGTATATGATATTATTTTAACAACCAACGTGGGAAGAGAAGGAGGAAAAGGCATTGGGAACCCCGGTGTCCTTGCCCACTGCCTGGACCAGGACCTTGTCCTTTTGGATTACAATTCTGCACGGTGCCTTGCAGACACATCCACTTAATACCCATTACTTGACCGAATGATTGGAAAAGCGCAGGAACAAAGAGAGAGGGAATAGAGGCGAGCTGTTTTTACACAATCCATTGTGGTGGAAGACCTGAGCATCCTAGCTTTTGTGCTGATTTGGGGCACAATTTAAATCCGAGGTCCTGCCTGAAAAGGAACCATAACACCAACACCACGTTGCCTTGTCCGTTTATATTTTGGCAGGATCTGGATCGGACAGGAACATCTGACTGTTGGGGGTGGAAGGCGTGGCTGGGTCTGGGAGGGAGACAGGGAGGAGATGGAAGGAACGGCAGAGCTCAGGGAAGCGATGCAGAATATGAGAATGGATCAGTGCGTCCAGTGATTACAGACGAAGAAACTGAGGCCCCAGAAGGCTCAGGGACTTGCTTAAGACCCCAGCTGCTTGGTGGCAGAACTGGGAACAGAACCAATGTCTTCTGACTCCCAATCTTGAGCTCCTCCCAGGACTACAAACAACCTCCTAAGAAATGATTCCCAAAGGGGACACAGAGGAAAATTTGGAGCGAGCACAGCCTGCATCCAGCCGGCCTCAGATTGGAGACTTCCTCGCCACCCTGATGACCCCTCCTTGGCACGAAGGCTTGGCGAGGGCTCCCGTTGTTGAAGAAAGAGATGGGCTGAGAGCCTTGCGCTGGCTTCTGGCTTGTTGGCTGACTCCCGGTCTCCTCCTTGGACAGAGCCAGGAGGGTAAGAAGAACAGAACAAAGAAATAAAAATAGCTGGAGGGTGAACGGTGCCCATCTGCTGTGTGGGCGAGGGAGGCCCAAGGAAGAAAAAGACTGTCAGTTAAGAGGCTGAATGGGGGATTCCTAGCTTCAACAGGCCATGCGGAGGTCAGAGAAGAGAACAGAGAGCAGACATCTTTCGGGGCCAGTTGTATCTGGGCTGAAGTCCTTTTCCCCTGGGACAAGTGACCTAACCTCCATCAGCTTGGTCTCTAACTCCATAACGTGGGGTGATAAAAACATCCACCGTTAGGCGTTACTGTGATGATGAAACAAATACATGTACTAGACTTTCTAGGCCATAGGAGGTGCTTCTCTAGGGTAGCTCCCTGATCGCAGCCATGCCCAGCACCTTCCTTTGCTCTCCAGGCTTGTGAGAGCAGAGAAGGCCAGGCAGGGTCCTTGGGCTGCAGCCCCCTGTGGTCTTGGCAGTGGAGTGTCCAGGGATTCCCATCCAGGTCCTCTTCCTATGGGAGCCTCCTGGGGGTCACCACCAGGCAACTAGAGCCCTGGGTCACAGGTGAGATCCCTCTACCTCTGTACACATTTTAAAAACAACGATGCGCCCTAACCGGTTTGGCTCAGTGGATAGAGCGTCGGCCTGCGGACTGAAGGGTCCCAGGTTCGATTCTGGTCAAGGGCATGTACCTTGGTTGTGGGCACATCCCCAGTAGGGAGTGTGCAGGAGGCAGCTGATCGATGTTTCTCTCTCATCGATGTTTCTAACTCTCTATCCCTCTCTCTTCCTCTCTGTAAAAAATCAATAAAATATATTAAAAAAACAAAACAAAAAACAACAACGATGTACACCCTAGTCGGGTTCGATTCTGGTCAAGGGCCCTTACCGTGGTTGGGTTGCAGGCTCCTCCCCGGCCCGGGGTCCTGGTCATGGAGCGTGCAGGAGGCAACTGATTGATGTTTCTCTCCCATCGATGTTTCTCTCTGTCTTTCCCTCCCTGTTCCACTTTCTCTAGAAATTAATGGGAAAATATCCTCAGGTGAGGATTAACAATAAGTAAATAATAAAACAATAAAAACAACGATGCACAGTGATCACCATAGTAGGTTCTGGGGTTCAGAAGAAATCACGCGGCTGCTCTAAAACGACCTGTGGCAGGATGCACAGTGGCAGGAGGAGCCTTCGGCCATGAGGGCCCTGAACCCC